ATCTCAGCTACTTGGAGGCTGAGTCAGGAGACTTGCTTAAACCCAGGAGGCAAAGATTGCAGAGAGCCGAGATCCTGCCACTGCACTCCAGCCTGGTGGCAGAGCAAGACTCTGACTCAAAAAAAGAAAAGAAAACTAAAAAAACAGAATGAGAAATCAGGCTGACCACAGCCTTACAACAGTATCAAACTTTTGCTGGCTGCTGCAGGCACATGGGCTACTAGTGAGGGGAGGGGAGGGGAGCGCACGGCACACATGGAAGCCTCTCATCTATTTTTACATGGGCTTAAGAGAGACTCAGGTGCACCAGTCTACTGGGTTCTATTTCTCTGGACACTGCCCTTTTTCTTTCTTGGTCTCCTTGGAGATGCTCCTGATCAAGGGACATGTAACAGGATTATGCTATAAATATTACTCCTATATTTATAGAGAATTTTAGGGGTAAAAATCAAAATATAAGGTCCAAATATATGGTTTTTAAAAGCCAACATCCCCAGTCTTTGTCTATTAACATCCCATGTGACATTAAGGTCAACCTTTAAAGACACCCTCTCCAGGAAGTCTTCCTTGATCATGCCAAACAGAAATGATGTCTCACACTGTGGACTTCCCAGTACTCTACAGGGCACCATTCTTGGGGCATAGAGCATGTCTGCTGTGTATGGCAGTTATGTCTATGTCTCCTTATCTTCTCAGCTCCAGTGAAAGTTTAATGAGTAGGGGCACTCTGTACCATATGGCATTGTAATGATCAAAGTGTTTTGTACACAGAAGATGCTTTCTGAAAACCTTTGCTAACAGATTGGCAGCTGAAAATAAATTTTTTTGGCCAGGCACAGTGACTCATGCCTGTAGTCCCAGCTATTTGGGAGGCTGAGGTGGGAAGCCCGCTTGAGCCCAGAAGTTCAAAACCTGCCTGGGCAACATGATGAAACCCCATCTCTACAAAAAGTACAAAAGTTAGCAAAATTACTTGAGCATGGTAGTGTGTGCTATAGTCCTAGCTACTCAGGAGGCTGAGGTGTGAGGATCCCTGCAGCCTGAGAGGCAGAGGTTGCTGTGAGCCGAGATCACATCACTGCACTTCAGCCTGGGCAACAGAGCAAGATCCTGTCTCAAAAAAAAGAAGAAGAAGACAATCAACTTTTAATAAAAAGACTTTCTTCATGATCCGTTTGAATGCCTACTATACTTGTTTATATTTAGAATGTTGTTATTATATCTGAGTATACATTATAGAGGAGCTAAACCAAGCATTGAAAAGACAGGGCTTGGTCCCTGTTATGGAGTGAATTTTATCTTCCCCCTCCAAATTCATACGTCGTAATCTCTGATACCTCAGAATGTGACTGCATTTGAAGGGGAAGTCTTTAAAGAGATAATTATGGTTAAATGGGGTCACTAGGGTGGTCCCACTAGGATTGCCACTGTGACTGGCACCTTCATAAGCAGTGAGAAGGTCACAGACATGTAGAGAGGGAAGAGCATGTGAGGAGACGATGGCCACCTACAAGCCAAGGAGAGAGGCCTCAGAAGGAGCCAGCCCGCCCACTCCTTGGTCTTGGCCTTCTAGCCTCCAGAATCATGAGAAAATTAACTTCTGTTGTTAGTCTCCCAGACTGTGATACTGTTATGGCAGCCCTGCCAAGCAGAGTATCTATGATTTGGACTATTGTGTGGGATAATCAAGGAACTTAGCCCTTTACTGAAGCTTTAAATATGCCTCTGCAGTATAACGTGAGAGGATATCTGGGTTCAAGTCCCGGTTCTGCTACTTGCTCAGTGTGCAACCTCAGACAAGTCATTTAACCTCTCTGAACGGTGATGTTCTCAGTTGTACGCATGTGGAAAATGCTGTATTTAACTTGTGGGATTGTGGAGATGATGCAACAACAGAGCACAGAGGTGCCCTCTTCCCTGCCCCTCAAGGATTACTCCTGTGGTGGACCCTCGCAGAACGGAGGAAAGGACCCTGGTGTCCTGTTTCCCAGCTCAGCACATGGAATTCTCTGGTTGCAACTTGAACAGCAACCTGCGAGAGGAAACGTGAGCCAGCTTAGCACTCTCCAGTTTGAGGCAGGGCTAGACGGGTGCTTCCTTCAGAGTCAGGGCATCTCTGGTCCTGGATGTCCATTTGTGAGTTTACAGGCAGGGTGAGTTGTCCATTTCCCAGTCATTTTCACAGCAGCTGGGGTCATCAATGACCACTTGTGATTGCGGGGCATTCCTGACATGGAAGGAAGACCTACAGCCCAGTGCCTCTGATGAGATAGGATCTGTCAATGAAGGGCAGTAGCCAGGCCGACGGGTGTTTGAGTACAAACTCTGGGGTCAGCAGCTGGGGCCACACCTCGAAGACTGCCCACTTAGGCTGTTAGGATGAAAGTAGCTTCTGCAGTGGTTCTAAGGAGGAGGCTCCCAGCGCTCTCCCTAGGCGACATTCCTCTCCATGCCTGGATCCGGGCGTCCCACCCTCTCCCTGGGGTGCTGACAGTTAGAAACCCAGGCGTGTCAGGAAGAGCTCAGAGCTGGGCAAGCTGTGAGAACCATTTCAGTTCATGAGAGAGGCCGGTTAAGTTCTTGGTTTCAGAGGAGATACTTTCGGGGCCGGGGGCGGGGGTGGGGGAGAAAAAGGAAGAGGCCAAGATGCAAGGACTGGCTGCCATTGGTCAGGGTCAGCCTGGGCTGCGGTGTTCAGGGGGTTTCGGCAGCCACTGTTGTTTCTGTTGCTCTGGCAACCAGAGGAGAAATACACAACGCCCAGTGCAGGTGCACAAGTGTTGAGTGCAGGCCCATTTCCTCCAATCGGCCCCAGCCAGCCCAGAGGCAGCGACCTCGGGGCTCCTCCCAGGATGGCTAGCTGAAAGTTTTGGTGTGTGGAGGCTGAAATGTGGAAACTAAATTCAGAGGGCGTTGACTACAGGGGCTGTGGGCTGCACCTGGGAGCACCCTCCCTCTCACACAGGAAAGCTGGGCCTGGGGCTGGGATGGGTCACCTGGATCTCCTGCCCGTCCCCAGTTGGCTTTCCTGCTTCTGGCGGCTGCAGCCCCAGCAGCTACATCCTGGATCCTGTTGAGGAAGCCCAGTGCTAGGTCAGTCCCAGGACTTGCAGCTCCACCCTGGAGCTCTGGTTCAAGGCTGCGGCTGCCTGGGAGGGTTCCCTCACTCCAGTGCCTGCCTTTACTGAACTTGCAGCAACCCCCGAGCCACTCTGCTAGGTTCTCCTTCTGTAAGGGGCTCAGGTTAACAGCCCTGGGGACTGGGAGACACAGTCAGATCCCTGACTGATGGAACTTCTTTGAGATTCTGGTTTCCTCACACATAAAGTGGAAGTAGTCAAACCTATCTCAAAGACTTGTGAGGAAGAATTTTCTGTGAAAATACCTAAGACAGCACCTGGCACATAGTAGGGGCTAAATAAATGGGGTCTTTTCCTCTTGCATAAGAGCCCAAATTCAAGAGGCAGGAAAAAGGAAGTCATTGAAATAATCTTACGGCCATGAGTTTGAAATTAGTATCCTCCCACAGAGAGGTAAATCAGAAGGAGGTTCCCAGCACTCCTCCCCCAGAACATCTCCAATCAGGACACGCTCACGCTGTTTAGTGGCTTCCGGTCAGGTGCTCCTGGTGACACTCTGGGTCCTTTCTCCTCCCCCCACCCATAATTTTCTTTTTTCTTTCTTTTTTTTCGAGACAGAGTCTCGCTAGGTCGCCAGGCGCTAGGCTGGAGTGTAGTGGCACGATCTTGGCTCACTGCAACCTCTGCCTCCCTGGTTCAAGCAATTCTCCTGCCTCAGCCTCCCGAGTAGCTGGGACTATAGGCATGCACCACCACGCCCAGCTAACTTTTGTATTTTTAGTAGACACAGGGTTTCACCATGTTGGCCAGGATGGTCTCGATCTCTTGACCTCATGATCCGCTTCCCTCGGCCTCCCAAAATGCTGGGATTGCAGGCGTGAGCAACTGCCTGTAATTTTCTTTAAAACACAGTTTAAAGATAAGGGAAAGAGTCACTTCAAGTAATGTGAGAAAACTGTAAGGAAAGAGGAAAAGTGAAAACACTGCCAGAGGCAGGAAACAGCACATTTGAATCTTCTCAAACTAAATGGGCCCCGTGTTGTATCTGGAATTGTGTGTGCCCGATAAACCTAATGTGGAAAGCCTTTGCTGAACATCTGACAGGAACCAGCCTCTCCATGAAATGTGAAAAGAAGCCCCCACCCAGTTATGAAGAGGCTGCTTAAGAGGACAGAAAAAGTGTGCGCAGCTAACACAACATGGGGCTTGCCAAAATCATCCTGCCCTAATTCTCCCATCAGCAGAGCCACTTTTCTGAAGAGCTAGTGGCTTGTGACTTGGTGGCTGGATTCTGCTTGTCCCTCCTGCTGTGTATCCCCCCACCCCACCCAGGACCCCTGTCCAGAGCACACCCTTTCTCTGTATTTTCACTTGCTGGGTATTCTTTGGGGCTTGAAGCCTCAGAAATTCCGTTGAGAACACAATGCTCTACGTTCAGGATGTGAATGGCCACAAATGCCGTATTGCTTATCTCGCTCTGTGCAACACCCAGCAGCTGCTGGCCTTTAACGAGGAGGCGGCACAGGGCTCAGAGAATCATCCTGTGTGTGCTTTGTTAGTGCATTTTGCAGCTGATTTAAGAGCAAGAAAGGAACAAACCCCATCTGATGTCTTTACTCCCGAGATCATCTCACATCCTTCCTAGGGCAGGAAGAGCAGGTGACTGGGACACCGGACATTTGGCAAGCTGGTGGCTTTCCTGTGTTGGCATGCTTTGCCGGGGTTTTCATGAAAAGACAATGACCTTTACAGAAAACAATGACCTTTGCAGAGATCTCCAAACCCTGGCAACTCAGCAGCGAGCTCAGTTCCAAAAGCGCTCCTATTGCCTTTCCCAGCAGAGTTGAACAATTGGAAAGCAAGGAAGGACTTTTTAAAAATCACCCAAGTTTTTGGCAAACTTTAGAAGCTCTTTCCCCAACCCTGTAATTAAAGCAGAAGTAAACAGTAAAAGAATATCAAATTGCAGCTCGCTTCAGGAATAGATGCCCAAATGAAGCTGCTGCTTGTCCTAACCTGTGCTTTGAGACAGAAGGGCCACCTCTCTGGGGAGCACTCCAACAGGTCCCCAGATGTGACACATTACGATTAAGACCCGAGGATTTGGAGCTCAGAGAGGAGAAAAGGTGAGTCATCTGTGGCATTACGCAAAGGAAAAAAAAATGTCTTCCTCTTTCAAAGCTGCCCTCTCTGCACCATCCCCGAGCCTCTTCTCTTTTTTGAGAAGGGAAATCATGGTGTTTCCTTCTTTTTTGGAGGTCATCTCCTGTATGGTACTGCCTCACCTTGAAGGGGCTCGTGGGTCCAAGGAACCCAAAGTAGTCCAGCCCCTGCCACACAGTGTGTGTGTCAGGACTCTGTGTCAGACTGAGTTGGTCTGTGTCTCACCCACTCATCAGCTGGGCAACCCCAGTCAAGTTGTTTATTTTCTCCAATATTCAGTTTTCTCAAGTCTACAAAGAGGAGAACAATAGTATTTACCTTATAGGGCAGACATGGGACTTAAATGAAACAGTGTAAAATTCTTGAGACATAAGAACCGCTCAACCATTGATGTTACATGTATCAATAGTTAATTTCTCTTTACTATCCTATTGTATAGACATGGTTTGTTCATTCATTTGTTGATGGATGTTTGGATTGCTTCCAGTTCTTGGCTATTACAAATAAAGCTGCTACTATTTGTGTACAAGTCTGGTAAAGACACAGTTTCCCTTTTTTCTTGGGTAAATATTTAGGAGTATAATGGGTAGCTGTGGGAGTAACTTTTAAGGAAACTGTCAAACTATTATCCAAAGTAGTCACACCATTTGGTGTTTCCATCAGTGGCTTGTAGGGGTTCCAGTTCCTCCACATCCTTGTCAGCACTTGGTGTGGTCAGTTTTTCTAATTTTATCCATTCACTTAGGTAAGTAGTAGTAGGTGATTCAGATTTACTTTGGCTTGTAGTAAAGATATTTAGATGAACATTCTGTGCAGCTGTATCATTCATTCATTTCATAGTGCACAGGCCTCAAAGCTCAAATATTATCTCAAGACAACCTGTCGTGAACCTTAATCTTTGCTGCACATCTGGGTGCATCTGACTCTGAAGATTAAGTGAATTTCAAGCAGGAGCAGCCTAATGATTCAGGGCCATAGACTGTTACAGGTAGGCGTGAGTAGGGCAGGAGAGGGTTCTCTCTCCACCCACTAGAAATCTCGGGTGATGGTTTGGCGATTATTGCATCGCCTCTCTACAAATGCATATTTGGCAGCTCCAGGGAGAGGCCATTTCCTGATGGTCCACACCTGTTAACATCAAAATGTGAATTGATTGCAGGCCCCAGGGAGAAGCAACTTCCGGGGCATGAGTGTTAAGAGACAAAAATGGTGACGTATGATCTTCCGGATCATACTCCATCGGAAAAGGGAAGAAAGCCTCAGTTGAGCATGTGTATAACTCCCTACGTATGCTGTGCGTGCTCAATTCCAAAGGGTAAGGAAAGCCCTGGGCATGCGGAAAGCCCCACCCTCAGGGAAGAATCATGGGAAAGAGGAGACCCTATAACGTCCTAGGATCAAGGATAAAGGCCCCTCTTTTTTTGCTGTCTTGTTTTGCTCTCTTCTTTCATGGACTTTCAAGCATCCACTTGGGTCTCTTTCAAGCAAATGTTCCTTTTGTTCCTTTTCTAAAGCATTTTAAATAAACTTCTACTCCTGCCCTGAAACTTGCCTTGGTCTCCTCTTCTGCCATATGCCCCTCAGTCAGAATCTTTCTTCTGAAAAGGCAAGGAGTGAAGTTGCAGTGGACCCGCATGCATTCACCGCCAGCAACTCGATTCTCTTCTACTGGCAACGAGACCACTTAATTTTCTTCTCATTACTCCCACTAAAGCCAAATAATTGCCATGATTTTCCTAATTCACCTACAAAGCCAATAAAGAGCCCTGGTCCATATCACCTTTAGCTCCTGGTACTAACAATAATGAACATCGTAAGATTGGCAACGCTATTAGTTTTGCCCTGTGTTTATAATAATGAGGTTAGGGAAGGTATCCTTCACTACTTTTTGGGACCCAAAAGAAAGAATCCATAGGAGAAATTTAACTCTGGTTTTAGTTCTAGAAGTAGCTTTGTTCGTCCTGAGCAAATGATTTGTTTTTCCTGATGAACACCGGAAATCATGGTGTTTCTTTCTTCACGCTGGTAACCAGAAATTTAGAGTCAAATCTGCCTTCTGCTTCTTAGCAAGTTTATCAGACTTTATGCTATATATTTAGTAAACTAACCTATGCTTGGCTCCACATTACTTTCCTATTTTGATTTCTATTTGCTTTACTTACCACGCTAGTTAAAATATTTTGAATTAAATGATTTTTTTAAAATATGTGTTTATAATCGCAATCCAAAAGGCATAATTTAAGCTCCAGAACCCTCTGGTCCGCCGTTCCTGCAGACTCGCTATCTCTGGCTCTTCTGGTTGGTGGACTGGAGTGGCTTGCACTTGCAAATTTCTTTAGAGGAATGCCTTTGGGCTAATGGTACCTCTTTACCAATAGGTGTAGAGATCTGGATGTACCTGGGAGTCCGGGGATTTCTGTGTCCAGCCCCTCCCTGAACCCCCCAACCAATGACTGATTGGAATAGGAGGATGGAAAGCTAGTTCCTTTTCCACAAAGTGGGACAATCTCTGAGATGCGATTTATGCTGGAGCTCCCCAGGCAGCAGGCTGAGGCTGGGGCTTTGCTGAAATCTCACTCTTGCTTGGCTGCTTCTTTTCCCCTGTCCTCCTTTCCCCACTCTCATACCAGGTTCTCTGAGTACACTTCTCTCATAAATCACTTGTACATGAATCCTTATTTCAGGGTCTCTTCTGAAGAATCCAACCTGGTACAGTAGATATTCAAAAGCTGATTCTCTCAGGGGGCACTGCTGCAGGTTCCTCAGAGTTCCTTCTCCGAGTTCCTCCCACCACACCTATCTTGTGAAAGCCTCCTGGGAAAGGACTACTTACAACTTCCACCTCTGATCCTGGCTCTCAGGGTCCACTCTGCTGGACTCTTGGTTGGTGTCTTTAACTCTGGCTATAACAAAGCAAAACTCAGGGCACTTAAACCGTCACACATCTCCCCTTCTCCTTTACCTTCAAATTTTTATTAATTATATCACATATACATGCTGAGGATTTATAATATTTACATTCTGTGGTGTAAATAAAATCCCCACATTTGTTCCAGTTGTTTTCCCTCAGTTAATTGGATGAAATGCACAAAAGAAGTAGCAGTGCTTTTCATGAGGACTTTCTGTTTTTCCTTTGGTTGAATAATGTTTGTTTCTAGTAACTTCCTCAAATAAAAAAAACTGTAGTCACTAAGCTCTTGCATTTTTAGAAATGTTTACCTGTTGTTATTACCCTTCTATTGGTGGATAATAAAATCCTTGGGTCACACTTTTTTTTCTTGGGGACATTGATGGGATTGCTTTACTATTTTCTAACACTGATTTTTTTCACTCTTTGTAGATGGCTTGATATGTTTTTGAGGATACTAAAATGATTTTTTAAGATCTAACAATTGTCTCTGAATTTTCCCTTCTAACAATAAGGTATATCTTTTAATCTGTGGATTTAAATTAGTCCCCTTTAAAAAAACTGGAAAAAATATAGCTTTTATACCCAAAACATCAATTTTATTATACAAAATGTGGCACCCCTGAGAGTGCTTATGAAAGAGGATCAGAAAAGCGTAGTTTGACTTAACTCCCTAGAGAATGTCAGACCTCTCCCACAAGGACTGCCTTGCCCTGGGAGTTATACCACATGAGATAGCAAGCAGAAAACACTTTGAATTGTATCTTGAAATATTTTACTGTCCAGTTACATAGGATCTCTTCTTCAGGGATGCCCATTTTAATCATATTTTCTTCTATATTTAGAAGAAATGTAGAAGCTGTATGCTTTCCTCTAGCGTTTGTTTGTTGTTTACTTTCATTTTGTTTTTCTCGCTTTTCTCACCATCTTCCCCACGTCCTTTACTATGCTTGCATCATGATCTAGTCTCCTTAGTGCTACATCTAATGTGAACTTCATTTTTGTGAGGCTATAATTTCGCCTACTTCTTTTTTTCTAAATTCTTCTAATTCTCATTTTATTGACTTCTGTCTTTTTATATTTTCCTGTGGTGCTTGTATTGCTACTCTGCGTTCTTCATTTATAATGGCAATGCCAGATATTTTGTCTTTGCTGAGGAGCACATCACTGTATCATCTCTTCTCTCAACCAGGTCCTAGGAATTGCCACAATACCTGAAATTTCTGAAAATGTTGGGTTTAAGTTCTACTTGAATTTGACAACAAGGATGAGTAGCTTGGGAGTTGGACAGATTTTTGTTCAAATCCTGACTGTAATATGTAAAAGTTGGGGTTATCTTGAGGAGGTTGTTCCCTCTGAGCCTTAGTTGTCTCATTTGTAATATTGCTGAAGTAATGACATAATATTAGTTCACAGCATTATGAGTATTAGACGAAATGAATAATGCAAAGTGCTTAGTTCAGAGTCTGGCTTACAGAAGTTGCTTAGTAAATGTTTGTTCTTATTCTTTTTTTTTTTTTAAATTAAACTAAGAGGTACAAGCAATTTTACCCTAACAAAAAGAAACTTTTAAGTTTCTTTTTATTTAACAATCATTTTATTTGACAATTGCTCAAAACTGTTCTTTATAATAAATGATATTAGAACATATTTATGGAAGGCTCACTAAATTCTAATACTTTTTCTGAGTTTGTCATGTTATCTCACCTAATCATTTAGCAACTCTATGAGGTATGTTACATCATCATACATGCAACTATTTTACAGTTGGGGAAATGAGCTTTAAGTAACTTATTGTTCAAAGTAGTCAGTGGAAGATCCACAACTTTGTCCAGCCTCAGACTCCACAGGCTATGTCTTCACTACCTGATATCATTTGTGCAGTGTGATCCTTTCCTGGGCTAGGAGCCATAGAAGAAGCAAAAAGTGTGAGGTATCAGCTCTGGCCTTAAGAAGCTCACAGGATATGTAGGTATACACTTTGCATGGTTTCACAAAAGCAGAAGTTGTGTATCATTTTGGGTCCAGATGTCACTTGACTACATGTCCTCAAAG